CACACACACACACACACACACACACACACACACACACTCACACACACTCACCCACACACACAATTGGCCAGGCACAGTGGCACGCGCCTGTAATCCCAACGACCTGGGAAACTGAGGCAGTAGGATCCCCAGTCAGAGGCCAGACTGGGACTGGGGGTGTAGCTCAGTGGTAGAGCACTCACCCAGCAGAGAGCATGCACAAGACCCTGAGGCCAATCCCCAGCACCAAAGGTAAAAACCAAAAAAGGAGTTGTTTGCATTAGTAAAAACAAAATTCGAAAAGACAGCTTGCATCTAAAAAAAAAAAGAAAAGAATCCCACCACAACAGCCCAGGAAACTAGAAACAGTGGCATGATAAGCAAAGCCAGGCACAGAGCTGGAGTGGGATGCCACAGCTCCTCAGCTTCCCAAGTTACAGAAACCTGGCCACCCACACGCTCTCCCACCATCAATATTTTTGGATATGTACTCAACTGTCAGAGGCAATCAGAATAATTTAGCTAAGAATATCCTGTGTCTCCTAACGTGAGAGAAAACAAACGAACAAACAGAAAAAAAGAACAACTGGTCCCCTGCGACTTGCTCTGAGCAGCTTCCCCGCTGGGGGATTGGAGGGCAGTGGACTTACCTGTCCCCCAGGGGAGGAGCCACGAGGGACACGGGGACGGGTCACTGTGAACATGCTCCAAAGCAGAGGGTGAGGTCCAACATGCAGCTAAGCCTGAAAGAGGATTCTTATTTCCTCTCCTTTTCCTTCATGTTGTCCTCCCCCTCCCCCTCCTCCCTCTACCCCTCCCCCTCCTCCTCCTCCTCCTCCTTCTTTCTCTTCTTCCCAGAGATTGAACCCAGGGGCACTGAACCACTGAGCCACATCCCCAGCCCTTTTTTAGATTTTAAAATATAAAATATTTTATCCCCTGTCTCACTGAGTTGCTTAAGGCCTCTCTAAGTTATTGAGGCTGGCCTCCAGCTCGCCATCCTCCTGCCTCAGCCTCCTAAGCCACTAGGATGACCGGCATGCGCCACCACGTCCCGCTCTTTTTAAACAATTTCTTGAGGTGTGACTGATAGATCAAAAACCAAAACCAAAGCTTCACACACTTAGGGTATTAGTTCAGTGAGTTTGGACACGTGCATATACCCATAGGACCACTAACTCCAGCAAGGTAATAGACATCTGTTACCTCTAAAAATGTCAAATCAAATAGATAATAAAAAAAAAAGAAAGAAAATATCTTTTAAATAAAAATGTGAACAAATATATATATTTTTTAAGCCTCATCTGACCCCAAAGTCTTAGCTAGGGGGACCATCTTGGCCTGATGGCCCTGTCTGTGTGTCTTGCCGCTCGCAGCTCTGCTGTACCCTGGAGACAAGATTATTTTCCACAAGGGCCAGGTGCGCCCCATCCGGCAGCCCGGAGGCTTCTACTCTGACTGGAAGATCACCCCGAAATTGGCTCCCTTCAAGCGCTTCAAGAAGTCTGGGGCCGAGAGGTCGGGCCCGCTTCCTTCCAGACCTGTTTCTTGTCGCCCTTGCCACGGGCCCCGCTGCCAGCCCTTCAGCCACAGGGCCTGGGTACTGGGTACTGGGTGACTGGGTACTGGTACTGGGTGCCAGAGTCACCTAATGGGCTCGCTTGGACTGGCCAGTCCCCAGTATCACCGTGTCCTGGCCTCCTGACCTCCCTTCCCCAGTCCCCTCCTGAGCACAGCCTCGCCCACTCGCAAGGTTACGGACAAAGACCCCCAGGGGGGTCACCTTCTCCCAGTCACAGAAAACAAACAACAGAAAAACAGCTGGCCCCGGATGGAGACTTGGTGGGACAGAGCGCAGTGACCAGTTAGTGATGTCTGCGGGCCCAGGCGGGAAGGCTCAGGCGTTAGCCACTTGTCCACAAAGCTGGCCTGGGCTCTGCAGGGGCAGGCGGAGTCGGGGTGGCCAAAGGGATTGAGATTCAGCAGCTACTAAGCACCAAGGGTCCTGCCTTCTGAGAGAGAGAATGGGACTTCCCTGTCACCCAGCCGGCCAGGGGCAAGGCCAGGTCTGGGGAGCCGCGCCCCAGGAGTGCACCCCTCACGGCCCCACGCCTGCCCCCCGTTCGCCCGGATGTCCCTCTCCTCTCAGAATGCCTCCCTCTCTCTCCCCCTCTCCCCTACACTAGGAAAATGTTCAAAACGAAGAAAATGTGCTTCACGGACTTTGAGAAATTTGCCAGGTTGGTCCCTCGCTCTGTTACGTGGTGGGAGGGCAGGGGCCTGGGGCTGGGCCCCTCTGCACGAGGCCCAGGGCTCCTGGCACAGCATGGGATCTCGGTGCCCAGGACCATAGGGACAGTAGCACTTAGAGAGCCCCAGGCAGGCATTGCTTCTAGAAGGTTCCACGGTTCAATCATCGGAGTCTTTTCCACAAGCCCACGAAGCCGCTGCTCTCGGCACATGCACATCACAGACGAGAAGACCAATGTCCACAAAGGTGGACGCTCTTGCTCAAAGTCCTAGTAAAGGGTCTAGTGGGGACTTGAACCCCTGCCCCGGAGACTGAACCCCAAACTCCACCCTGAGACGACCCTGGATGGGGCTGGGGGTGCGGCTCAGTGGTCAGGCCTGGGCAGCAGGAGGCCTGGGTCCTGTGCCCGACACCTCAGCACATAAGTAAATCACAGAACAATCTAGAATGTCCGTGGCTGGGGTCAAGCCACCTGCGTAGGGTGTGACCTTCAGGAAAGGACAGCCTCTGTGGGCCTCTGGGTGCTCGTTGCTGACCCGACCTGGGGGCACTCCACGTCCACCCGGCCTGTCCCCCTTGACGGCCCTCCCTGTGTCCTCTTGTTCCCCAGGAGGCTGAAGAAGAAGAGCCCCAGTGGGCCCCCCACAACTCACCCGAATTCCTTCTGGCCGGGTCACCTGCTGGATAAGCTGCGGCTCTACCTGCCCACCGTGGCCCAGGAGAGCAGCCTGGCCCTCTTCAGTCATGTCCAACACAAGCCCCAAGTCTACCGGGCCATCCACCACCCTAACCAGTGGTGGCCCCTAAGGGACACCAGTGACATGACCCGTGTCCTCTATGATTGCACCAAGGTGTACTTCATCAGCTAGTCCCCGCCACAGCCACCCGGAGCCAGCAGCCAGGACAGCCAGGGCCCTGCGCCACGGACCCAGAGTGTCAAAGAGCCAGAAAAAATAAATAATGTCAGGGGGATGGCCTGGGCCAGTGTCCCAGTGGGCAAAAGTGTGACATCCACAGTCGAGGGGAGAGATAAAGAATGTCCACGGGCTTCTGCCCTTTTCAATGCGTATTCACTCAAGTCACTTAACACGATTCCTCTCTGTAGGTCCGTGTGTGTGTGTGTGTGTGTGTGTGTGTGTGTGTGTGTGTGTGTGTGGTGCTGGGGATGGGACCAGGGCCTACCAACTGAGCTCTGTCCCCAGCCCCAAAGAATGACCATCCTTAATGTTGGGCACTGCCACAGGCACGATCCATTCACAGCCAACAATTCTAGGTCGACGCTAAGCGCTGTCAACACAGTCCACCACGACAGAGGCTTGTCTGGGAGCAGTCACTGTCCTCGCCAGGGTCAAGAGGTGGCTGTAGAGTTTGAGGACGATGCAGAGGGTCAGGCAGAGGGTGAGGAGAGCTGGCATGTCCGTCCAGGTCGTCCTCAGGGTCCCCTGCCTGTGGGCATCAGTGTCGCCGCCTCTAATGTCCGTTCATTGGTTCCCATGTTTATATTGAAAATTGGGAGCATCTGCCCACCCTTTCAGTCCCTATCAGCTGTCCCTGGGTTTCTTGGTGACCTGATCTCTCACCTCTCACACTTATTAGGGCAAAGACAAATGACAAGGACTTCCCTCTGAGTCTTACCAGGGCTGTGGAAGGTGACTTGCTTTCATCAGGCTGCGCCTGGGTGACATATTGGGGGCTCGGTGGCTTGCCTGGTGAGACTGCAGGTTTGGTTTAAAATGGAGTTGCTTAGGCTAAGGCCGGAGGCCATCCTGACAGCCAGCTCCCCCTGGGACACAGGGTGCCCAGTGTTCAGAGGGGAAATGTGTCCCCGGAGAGTCACGCAGTTGGCCAGAGGGGTGTTCAGGAAGACAGAGTCTGGGGACATATAGCAGGCACATTCCTGGGGACACTGACAGCAATGACGACATGGCACCTCCCGCCTCTCCTCATGGGATGTCAGTGCACGTGGGAAGCCACAGGCAGGATGAGGCCTGTGTCCCCACCGCTGTAAAATGAGATGATAGCATGATCCTCATCCCTGAAGACGGAGCCATTGGTCTTTGGAAACTAGAGACATGTTCATGAGCCCTCCCTGTCATGACAGGCCTCCCACAGGCAGCCACCTGCAATGTGTCCCCACGCCCCCCATCCCACTGAACATCACACAGCTGCAGGGTGACATCATTCACGATGTGAGGTAGCCAGAGACATACAGCCCTGACCCTACTGCCTGCCAGCTGTGTGACCCCAGACAAGACACTGCCAGTCTCTGGGTCTCCTCAAACTCCTCTTCACAGCCAAAAATCTCCTGGTGACATTGTCAACACACACCGCTTTCTCCTCCCCTCTCCTCTCAGTCATTAACACAATCTGGTTTAGCGTCTGTCCCCGTCTCTCTCCTGGAACAACTACTAGCAAGATCACCAAGGACATCTGCATTGTGTTTGAGTGGCAGAACCAAGGTTTCTTGTTTGTTTTCCTCCTGAATTTGATTCTCAGGATGATCTTAACAAGAAAAGCTACGTAAAACAAATCAAGAACAATTTTAAAACTGGGCAGGAGAGACACATGGTTAGAAGGGTGCACTTGAGAGTGAGTCAAATCTCCGAACTTTGCTTTCCCCATGTTGAATGAAGAAAATAATAGAACCACCTTCTAGAATTGTGATGAGGATATGAGATCCCATGGAATGTGAGCGGCTACGGCCTCATTACTGTTTATTCCCCTTGTCATTTCCTAAACAACACAATTATATAGAACTCACATTGCATTAGTATTAGAAGTTATCTAGAGATGATTAAAAATATACAGCTAGAGGTTCTGTGCAATACTATGCCATTTTATGGGGTGGGGTGACATCCTGGAACCAACCCCTGCAGCTAGGGAGGACCATTTTCTGGATTTAATGATTAGGAAGTGACTGTTTTGTTCCCTCCTGACCACTAGGAGGCGCACTCCCGGGAGAAGAAACGCGGGCGGAAATAGTCTAAAAGCTGGTTTTGGCTTCTATTTCTGGCGGAAGTAGATCCCCGTCCTAGGTCTTGGTTCTGAAAGCATTCCCAAATTTTCCATGTAGTCCGGAGGAAAGGGAAAATACATTTTCACTTTTACTCCTACATATTAATGTCCAGTAAAGCACAGGTGCACTGGGCATTTTTGTAGCGTTATTTCTCGGGCACGTCCTTATTTTCTTCGAAGGACCCGGAGCCGGAAGTGCCCACCTTTTCCCTTCCAGGACCCTCAGGTTACGTCCCATCAGCCCTTGCGCGCCGTCTTCCTCTCTCTTCCTCGGCGCTGCCTTCGGAGGTGGCCGCCATTCGTATTCGGTGAGTCTTAATCGTTCGCCATCCGCATTTGGGGGGTGACCACCGGGCCCCTTTACCCCTTGGTGAGAAGGCCGCCTCCTTTGCGTGGTCGGTTTTGTGGGTATTGTGTCTGTCGGCCTCCTGGGACGTGCATGGGAACAGCCAAGCGGCCCGGTGCGGTGATGGCGCTTTGCCTCCCAGGGCCGCTTGCTCTCTTACGGAGGCCGCCTTGGGCCAGTCGGAGCTGCGAACGGCTTGATTGATCCCTGACAGCTCCCGGTGCATGTTGAGGCCAGACTACGCGGACTCTGGGGGCCGTGGAGCGACCCGAATCCTGGGTGACAGCTCGCGGCCGGGATCTGCGGGTCACCGCGCGCGCTGGCCAGAGTGCCCTTGTGCATTTATTTAACTGTCGCGCCCTGTGGCCCTGAGCGACTGTCAACAAAAAGACGACCCTTCAGTGCATTCGATCGGTCATTACCAAACTCCCGTAGTGGGTCCGGATTCCTGGAAAATGGCACTGGTCCCTTCGAGGAGAGCGTGGTGCTAGGGGGCACCTGGTGCGTGGGGGACAAAGTGAATTGATGGCTGTGAAAATGACAGGATTGTGGTAGAGAGAGATGGGGTGGCCGGGAAGTCCACCTTGGGGACGGTAACTGACAGTCCTGGGTAGAATCTGGTTCTCGGGTTGGCTGGGTTTTGGGGGTGCAGAGTGGTTTTATGCATGCTTTTGAGGGTATCGGGGCTGCAGCTCCCTTCAGGAATTGTTTTGTGGAACATTTATTTTGTGCCAGGCACTGGGCAGGCATGCAATGTGCCAATGTCTTGTGCATTTTGCAAATAAGAAGAGGGCTCACGGCTTAAAAGACGATCTGGGAGTGGGGAGACTTTGGGGTGTGGGGGTTTGCTATCCTTTGCAAGTGAGAAGGTCTTGGGTTCCGTTTTGATTTCAGTAGCTGTTCTGGGGGGCTGAGGTGACCCCTCACCTCCTGAGATCGCATCTGGAGAGTGCCTAGTATTCTGCCAGCTTCGGAAACAGGAGGGAGAGCAAGCCTAGCAGAGGCACCCATTCCATTCCCAGCTTGCTCAGTAACTGGTGATTGGAAGACACTCTGCGACACCACTCAGGCCCCAGCCGAGCCCTGGACAGGAGCCCCTCGGGAGCATTCTGCTTCAGCGGGGATCTCCATTTTCCTTTTAGGTACCATGGCTGCCCTCAGACCCCTCGTGAAGCCCAAAATCGTCAAAAAGAGGACCAAGAAGTTCATCCGGCACCAGTCAGACCGATATGTCAAAATTAAGGTACGTATGTGGTTGTGGGTGGGTGTGAGTGTTGGGCTGCAGGAGGGAGTTACTGTGTGTGGCCTCACCTGGTCTAAGCAGCTTCTGACAGGTGAGCTGCTTTGTGGTTGGCCTGAGAGCTCTGCATAGGAACTGGGGTCTCCCCATTAAATAACAGACCCTGGGCTGCCCTGGGGCCTTTTGAGAACTTTTTAGATTTATGCCACATATTTGAGGTGGACTTAGGACTGCTGAGACCCAGGCAGAGATTGTCCCTGGTTTTTTGGTTGTGAAAACTCATGTCCTAAGAGCAGTGAGGACACCCGTGCTCTTCATCTCCCCAAAGACACAGCCCCCCTGCATCCCAGCCTGCTCTGTTTGTCCTTCCCGTTGCTTAGGAGTGAGAGTGGGGGTCTCCACTTCCAGTGGGTAAATCTAGGAATTTTTTTCTCTCCCCCCATCAAAGGAGGAGGAAGTCTTATTACCCAAGGGCACCTAGTGTCTCGCATCTTCTCTTTCATTTGTTCTCCTTAAAAAGAAAGGCTGGCAGTTTGCCCAGAGACCAACCCACCTGTGCCTTCCTTGTTTCAGCGCAACTGGCGGAAACCCAGAGGGATCGACAACCGGGTGCGGAGGAGGTTCAAGGGCCAGATCTTGATGCCCAACATTGGTTACGGGAGCAACAAGAAAACCAAGCACATGCTGCCCAGTGGCTTCCGCAAGTTCCTGGTGCACAACGTCAAGGAGCTGGAGGTGCTGCTCATGTGTAACAAGTGAGTCGGGTCCCTCCTGCTGCGGGGCTCACGAGTCTGCGTGCCTGGGCAGCAATTACGGGGTCCGTGGGGAGGGGTTGCTCATTCCACTGCAGCACTCACAACCTCAGGCCTAGGGGACACCTCCATCTGTGCTGTGGCAAGAGTCATCTGGCCACTGAGGTGGAAGAGCGGCCGCCTGCCTGGGTCAGGGCTTTAGAGCCAGGTGCCATGTGGAGTTGGGAAAAGGCCTGTGGGCGGAGAGAAGGGCTTGCACAAAGCGGAGGGCACGTGGAGGGACACAGGCGCTAGGTTCTACGTGTTGATGCAAGTTAGGCATTTGGGCAGGCTCTGTGGGAGACTTGGGCTGCTGCAGTCAGGACTGCGGCAGGGAAATGAGAGCAGTTTGTCACGGGAGGGGCCCTGGACACTTGAGGGAGTGGAGAAGATGAGGAGAGTGGCTAACTGGTGCCATCTGTGCGCGTTCCCAGAGCTCTGCTGAGTGGCAGGCGATGACCATCCGGCCAGGTGGACAGCTACAACTCAGTACCCAAACACAGGGTTTTCTTGAGGCAGGGTGGGGGTACTGACTGGGGACCGAGGCCAGAAGCACTTGATCACTGGGCCACGTGTGCATCGCCTTGTTTGAAACCATCTTGTTTCCAAGAGCAGCTGCACTGTCAACCTCCTGAAGTACAGCATGATATATATATATATGTATATAAATCTCCATTTTGGGGCATTTGTTTTTAAAACAACTGAAGCAGGGAAGCTTATACAGCTGGTTGTTGTAGCAGTAAACAGCTGGGACACGTGGAAAGGCGGCAGAGTGCTGGGACCAGGCGTCAGACAGCCACTCACTGATGGTTGTGTGGCCATGAGGGAAACGTGCTGCACCTTAAAACAGTAGGTGCAGCCATTGTGGCTGTTGTGTATGCAGGTGGCAAAGACCTAAAGTATTTGAGGACAGTGAAGCATTTAAGCGTGACTGAGGCCCTGCTCTCGGCCTTCGCTGCTTGCTGTTGGAGTGTTTGGGTCCTCATCCAAAGTGTGGCTCTGAGAGTCCTGAGGAATGACGGGTTAGAACAGTGTACCAAGTGCAGCTGGTGGGCTCTGTCCTCAGTAGTCCAACTGGGGACTCTTGGCTCTATTCAGACTGTTGGATTTTGCCCTTGGTCACTTTGCAAGTCCCAGTACTCTATGGACAAAGCCAAGCTCCCTGGGGCTCTGGAGTTGGTGGGTCCGCCGGGGTGTGCGGGCAGCCTTTGAACCTGGGGTCTGGCTGCCTCCTCCCAGACGTGTCAGTCTCTTGCTGTGTGAGCTGGGAAGTCACGTCCACCACTGTGGACCCTGGTTTCCTCATCTAAAACGGAGGTGGCTCACGGGGCCATAGTGAGGACTTAGGAGAGTGACTCCCACCAGGATTTGGGGGTCTGTGGGCCTCATTCAGCACCCCTAAGTGCATTTCCCAGGTGCCTGCCGGGCTGGGCCTGCTCCTCACCCCTGTGCCTGATTCTCTTCCAGATCTTACTGTGCGGAGATTGCCCACAACGTTTCCTCCAAGAACCGCAAAGCCATCGTGGAGAGAGCAGCCCAGCTGGCCATCAGAGTCACCAACCCCAACGCCAGGCTGCGCAGTGAAGAAAATGAATAGACACTTCAAATGCACATTTTTTGTGTGCTTAAATAAAGCCACAAGCTGCCACCTGGCTTTTCCTGCCTTGGTTTTGTTTCGCTTTCTTGACTTCACTGGACAGCTTGTCACAGAGGTGGTCCTTTGGCCTGTCACCTGTGGGGTCCTCCATGAATGGAAGATTCTGGATAAGGGGTTTGCCAGGGGCACTAGGCCCTTGCACAGGGAGCCCAGGGTTGCCTGGGTCAGCTGAAGTTGGGGCTGGGGAAGAGGAGGAAAGGCTTGGCCTGGGACCAAGTGACCATGTTAGCCCCGCCCTCGTGAGAATTAAGAAAATGCAATTTTGCGTACGTTTTGGGTGGGGGGTGACCAGGGATTGAACTCTACGGCACTTGACCACTGAGCCGCATCCCAGCCCTGATTTGTTTTTCATTTAGAGACAGGGTCTGAGTTGCTTGGTAGCCGCTTGCTCAGGCTGGCCTCACAACACGTGATCCTCTGCCTCAGCTGAGGTTACAGGTGTGCACCACTGCACCCTGCCTGCCAGGCACAATTCTTACAAGATGTCCCCAATAAGACTAGGGTGATGAAGCTCAAAATCTTGAATTCGGTGTCCTCAACAAGGTTTGATTCTGCTTTTGCAAGACGCGGTATTTTAATGTGGTAGTGCTTGCCTGGTACCTCGTGAACAAGACGGAGAGATGGTTCTAGGCCTTTCGCCCCCCTCTATCCCAGCTCATCTAGCAGGATTGGCACGCTGGTCACAAGAGACAGGCCACGAGGTCCAGTAGGTGAGTGTGTTGTAGGTTGGTGTTGATGCACAAACTGCTCATTTTTCAGGGTTTCTTTAGATTGACTTGGGAAGGATATTGAAGATGGGGTTCAGCTTTGGGAATAGGAATTATGAGGAAAAATCGGTAGCAATTTAGGATCTATTCTTTATTAGCTTTGCTTATCACAAAAAAAAAAAAGCTTTGGCCTGTTTTTATTTAAATTCGATACTAAAGTCTAGTATGGAATTTCAAATCTTCAGGACACAAACTGGTTATGCCTCAGTGGTGAAGGAAAAGAGATTCGTACTTTCCTGTTTCCTGATTGGTTACATCATTTGAAGGTAGAAATGAAACATTAGGGTCAACCCTTCAGGTCCTTGTCCTGTGTATCCTCCCTGCAAAAAAGGCCCTCGTACTTATTTTTTTTTTTTTTTGAAATTTAGAATGAATAACTCAAGTATCTGAACTGGTTTCCTTGGGGGTGGGGGTTGCACTGGGGATGGAACCCACAGCCTCACGTGCTGGAGGAATGTCCTACGACTGGCTGACACCCTCACCCTGATATTTTTCCATATTGAGGATTGAACCCCAGGGTGCTCAGCCACAGAGCTACATCCCCAGCCTTTTTGATTTTTGAGACAGGGCCTTGCTAACTTCTCAGAGGACGGGCCTCAAACCTGGAATCCTCCAGCTTCAGCCTCCCCAGTTACTAGGATTACAGCCATGACCCACCTGCCACTCCATTAAGACTCTTGGCCAGAGCACTGCCTTAATGGCAGTGCCTTAATGGCAGCAGAGACCCCAGATCACTTCAAGAGGAGGAGGACGGGTGGGGGTGAGGAGCCAGGGGAGACGGCGACTGAAGGCTGTGCATTTCTGAGTGCGGGTGAGTGAGGCAGGGACTCCCCAGTTTGAAGGAGCCAGAATAACTGGAAGGGTGACAGGTCACTGGAAAACACTGTCCCCCAACAACATCCTGAGTGAAAGGGCCCACGGTTGGCCTCGCGGTTGGGGCTGGGGGCCTGCGAGATTGGGTCCCTGGAGAAGGCACTGTAGCCCCAACCCGGGCCCCCGAGAGCCCCCGGTGAGATGAAGGACAGAAGTCAGGCCCCGGTCTTGTGGCTGGGAGGCCGGGGTTTGCTGGACTCCTCCTGAGCAGCAGGACATCTAGCTGAGCTCCATCGAGTCCGTGCTGGGGGCTGAGGCGGAATCCTTCTGGATGCTCTCGAAGAGGATGGTGAGCTCGGGGTTGGTTCGGATCTGGGCTGAGAAGTCGGCCATGCTGGGGCTCTTCCCCGCCTCGGGGATGGTCAGCAGGGCGGCCACGGCCCTCATGGCGGAGCGCTTCAGCTCGTCCTGCTTCTCAAACTCCTGCTTCACTGAGCCGGCTTTGACCTACAGTGGGGGGGGAAATGGGTGGAGCTGTCCTTCAATCCTGGCCTCACCACCCAGGAGGCAGCCTCCCTTTTGGTCCTCCCCACCTTCAAGCCAGTCCCTGCAGTGGCTTCAGGGTGGCCTGAGGCTCCAGCCTGGCATCTTGGCCTCATTCTAACCGGACTCCTGCATCCCAGCACTCCTTCCTTTTTTTTTTTTTTTTTGTTTTGTTTTAAATCTTGAGGCTGAGTCTCCCAAGTTGCTGAGGCTGGCCTTGACCTTGCAATCCTCCTCCCTCGGCCTCTCTTACAGCCCTGCACCACCACACCCAGCCACCTTGACATTACTAATTAATTCCTCGTGCTGGCCGCTTCCCCTAAACAATCCTGTGGGTCCACAGGCCTGGGTTCAATGGCTCTGCCCTCTTATAGGGGTGACCTTAGGTAACCCCTTCTTTGGGCCTCCGTCCCCCATCAGTAAGTCAGCCTTCCCTTGACGGAGCTGCTGTGAGGACTGACGGACTTCTCAGATCCGTATCTGATCAGGATTATTTTGATTTTTTTCCAGAAAGATAAGGCTGCAGACATGAGGTCTGGCAGAACACCCGATAATCAAATATATTAATATCTCTCCCATTTAATATATGAGTATTATGAATAGTCCAGTCAGAGGGAATTAAAGATTGAACACACCTCAAGCCAGTTCAGGTTTTGCTGTTCGATTCTGGCGTGGCTGGGGGCCCCACAACATGACAGGCAATTGCAGCACCCCCAATGCTTTTTTTTAAAAGAAATGTCATTTGGAGACAGGGTCTCATTAAATTGCCCAGACCATGAACTTGGGATCCTCCTGCCTCAGCCTCCCGAACCACTGGGTGTGCATCACCACGCCCGGCTCTGGAACAGGTTTGCTACTGTCTTAACAATATGTGAGGTGAATAGAGAGCCTACATCCTGGGAGCAAATTTTCCCCACTCACACATCAGATAGAGCACTAATCTCTAGGGTATATAAAGAACTCAAAAAGCTAAGCACCAAAGAAACAAATAACCCAGTCAATAAATGGGCCAAGGATCTGAACAGACACTTCTCAGAAGAGGACATAGAATCAATCAACAAATATAAGAAAAAATGCTCATCAATCATCTCTAGCAATCAGAGAAATGCAAATCAAAACTCTAAGATTTCATCTCACTCCAGTCAGAATGGCAGCCATTATGAAGACAAACAACAATAAGTGTTGGCGAGGATGTGGGGGAAAGGTACACTCACACACTGCTGGTGGGACTGCAAATGGGTGCAGCCATTATGGAAAGCAGTATGGAGATTCCTTGTAAAATTGGGAATAGAATCCTCATTTGACCCAGTTATCCCTCTCCTTGGTCTATACCCAAAGGACTTAAAATCAGCACACTACAGGGACACAGCCACATCCATGTTTATAGCAGCAAAATTCACAATAGCCAAACTGTGGAGCCAACCTAGATGCCCTTCAGTGGATGAATGGATAAAAAAATGTGGCATATATTCACAATGGAATATTACTCAGCACTAAAAAGAGAACAAGAACATGGCATTTGCAGGTAAATGGATGGAGTTAGAGAAGATAATGCTAAGTGAAGTTAGCCAATCCCAAAAAATCAAATGGCGAATGTTTTCTCTGATATGAGGAGGCTGACTCATAGTGGGGTAGGGAGGGGGAGCATGGGAAGAATAGAGGAACTCTAGATAGGGCAGAGGGGAGGGAGGGGAAGGGAGGGGTAGGGGGTTATTAATGATGGTGGAACATGAGGATCATTATTATCCAAAGTACAGGTATAAAGACATGAATTAGTGTGACTATATACAACCAGACATGTGAAAAATTGTGCTCTATATATGTAATAAGAATCCTAATGCATTCTGTTGTCGTATACAAATAAAATTTACATGAAGAAAAGAAATTTAAAAAAAAAACATCATCTCCAACCTTATGGATGCATGTCTGTTTGTCCTCTTTAAGCTTCAATATAAAAACAGACCTTCTTTTGGTTGATTTCTACATTTTCAAAGTTCACATTAGTTCTTTCATTCCAGTTTTTTAGTTTTTCTGGTGCCTGGGATTGGACCCAGCGTTACTTCACCACTGAGCCTCATCCCCCGCCCCTTTTAATATTCCTTTTTTGAGATAGGGTCTCACTAAGGGGCCTAGGAGTCTGGCTCTGGGACTTCTTAGTTGTGTCGTCTCGACCCACAACTTGGCCTCTGAGCCTCTGCCCCTCTGCATGTGAGACGGTCAGCACAGGAAGCTCCTGGCCGGGCGATGGAGAGGGGTGAACGACGGCCCTTTCAGTAACTGGAAACTGAATGATTTGCAGGTGACCCGCCGGGTGATCCAGGCTCGGGCTGGGAAAGGGGCCTACCTTGGCGGTACAGGTGGCTCTCAGTGGCTCAATGAGCCGGTCCACCCTCTGCAGGACAGGCACAGGACACAGGGCGGCCAGCCGTGCTAGCATGATGAAGGTCAGCATCTGCCCAGAAGGAAGAGTTCTTAGTGAAGTTGCCCAAGAACAAAGACAGCGGGCCCAGAGGACGAGGAGACACTCTGTACCCCAAACCTGGGGACCAGGGTGTAACCAAGTCCCAACAGGGCCCTGCCTGAGTGGATCGCTGTCTGGGCCTCGGTTTCCTCATCTACAACATGTGACGGGTGACGCTAAACCTTATCCGGTACACTTGGCTGGCCTTGCGGAGGGGTGCATGAGAAGAGGTGCCAGGGGACAGGGGGGCTCTCAAGTTCAGATGCTCCTGGGGTCCCCAGAGCCTGTCAGTAAGTAAAGAAGCCAGAGAGGGCCTGAAGGGGAGCAGGAGCAGAAGTCCCAACCACAGCAGGGACCCAGCTCCGGCTCCTGGTATCTAGGGTGGCTGCCGGCACTTGGAGAAGGTTGGAGTGTGTCCCTCCAAGAATCATGGACTGAAAGCTCGAACCTGGATGTGGCCGTGTTGAGAGGTACTGTGCCTTTAAGAGGCGGGGCCTAATGGGAGGTATTTAGGTCATTGGGAGCAGTTTCCTTGCAAGGGCTTCATGCAGTTAGCAGAGGACCCTGGTTAGTTCCACGGGGAGGGAGTGATAAAAAGCAAGTCAGGCCAGGCATGGGGGCAGACTCCTGTAATCCTGGCTGCTCACAAGGCTGAGGCTGGAAGATTCCAAGTTCAAGGCCAGCCTCAGCATCTTAAAGGAAGCCTGTCTCAAAAAAAATAAATAAATAAAAATAAAAAGGACTGGGGTTCAATCCCTGGAGTTCAATCCCCAGTACCATAAAACAAAACAAAAACCAAGCTCGGGTCTCACGAAGTTGCTGAGGCTGGCCTCAACCTTGGCGATCCTCCTGCCTCAGCCTCCCCAGTTGCTGGAATTACAGGCATGTGCCACTGCTCCTGCCAAGACTCTGCTTTTAAGGGCTGCCAATAGGTTACGTAATCCGCTGTGTGAGCATGGCTCTCTTTCAGGAGGCCATGATCAGCTCTCCTTTCCTGCTTTACCATTTGAACTCTTATGCATCTATCTCTGGCACTGTGAAGCCCCCAGCTATGAAGTTTCACCAGAGCCAAGGAGATGCCAACACCATCCTCTGCACCTCCAGAATGGCCAGCTAAATATTACTGATGGACGTAATGATGGATGGATGGATGGATGGATGGATGGATGGATGGATTACAGTGCTGGGTTTTGAATCAGGGCCCCCTTCATGCTAGGCCACATGCCTCCTGAGTAGCTGGAATCACCACACACTATCATGGTCCCTACCTCTTTTTTTAAAAAGTTCAGGTATTTTGTATCCAGGCTCAGGCTCAGGTATTTTGTTATAGCAGCAGAAAACAGCCTGATACGGTGGGTATGTGGGGATGTGGTCCAACATTACTGTATTTCTCTTCTTTTTTTAGTACTGGGAATTGAACCCAGGGTCCTCTACCACTGAGTCACCTCCCCAGCCCTTTATTTTTCATTCTACATTTTGAGACAGGGTCTTGGTAAGTTGCATAGAGCCTTGCTAAATTACGGAGGCTGGCCTCAAACTTGCAATCCTCCTGCTTCAGCCTCCTGGAATTATAGGCTCTTTCTTTTTTCTTTGTCTTTCTTTTGATTTATTTATTTATTTTTAAAAATTTGTTTGGTACCAGGAGTTGACCCCAGGAGTGTTTTACCACTGAGCTGCATCTCCAGTCCTTTTGCTTGGGGATAGGGCCTCACTAAGTTGCTGAGATTGGCCTTGAATTTGTGATCCTCCTGCCTTGGCCTCCTGAGCGGGGGAGAGGGCTCACACCTACCCGGATGTCATAGTGGTCCTTCAGCCCGTCCTCCACGTGGTTCAGGAACTCACAGATGTCCAGCTGGCCCAGGCAGCTCTCGAGCAGAGAGTACATGCACTCGAAGGCCGCCTTCCGCACGTCCAGCCCGTCGTCCACCGTGTGCATAAAGGGCCCCATCTCCACCTGCGGGAGGGAAGGACAACATAAGTTGGGGGGATGTGGCCCCCACGTGGAAGACCACCAGCCCCCCACCCCGAGTTCCTGCCCCACCCCCACCCTCAGATGCTGACCCCAAATCCCAAGTCTCAGCCTGCAGCGCCCTTTCCCCAGATAATGATCACAGTAAAAAGAACCGTTGATTTCATCCACCACGCAGACTCTGGGAGTCCTTGGTAAATGACGCTTGGGGGTGGGGGGTGCTGGGCACTGACCCCAGGGTCTCACACACACACTCAACAACTGAGCCACATCCCCAGCCACACAGTTGGCGTCTTCCTCAAGCACTGCAAGTGTCTGAGGAAGAAGACGCTATCCTTTACCCCATTTAAGGCTCAGAGAGGTTAATTAATTTGCCCAAGGAGACACAGTTAGCCTAAGGTTAAAAATCCAGGTCCTGGGGTAGGGCTGGGGTTGTGGCTCAGTGGTAAAGCGCCTGTCCAGCACGTGTGAGGCATTGGGTTCGATTCTCAGCACCACATAAAAATAAACAAATAAAATATTTTTCTTTCCTTTGCCTTTTTTTTTGGGGGGGAGTGGGGGTACCAGGAATTCAACTCAGGGGCACTCGGCCACTGAGCCCCTTCCCCAGCCCTATTTGGTATTTTATTTAGAGACAGGGTCTCACGGAGTTGCTTAGCGCCTCGCTTTTGCTGAGGCTGCCTTTGAACTCGAGATCCTCCTGCCTCAGCCTCCAGATGTCATAGTGGTCCTTCAGCCACTGGGATTGCAGACGTATACCACTGCATCCGGCTCGCTTTCTTATTTATTTTAACTGGAGATTGAACCCAGTGCAGCAATTTACCATTGAAATTCATCCCCAGAATTTTTTCCTTGATTTATTTATTTTTTTTTTAGTCTGAAACAGAGTCTCACTAAGTTGCTGAGGCTGGCCTCCAACTTGGCGATCCTCCTGCCTCAGCCTCTGCAGTTGCTGGAATTACAGCCATATGCCTCTGCTCCTGGCAAGACTCTGCTTTTAAGGGCTGCCAATAGGCTACGTAACCCACAGTGTGGGCATGGCTCTCTTTCAGGAGGCCATGATCAGCTCTTTGGAGACAGAAACCACACATCAGGATCACCTGTGGATCCTGTCACTCAGACTCCACTCCTGAATGTTGAGTGGCAGCCTAGAGTCACCCGCATCTACCGGCAGAGCATCTTTTATCCAAAATGCTGACGACCAGCAGTGTTTGGGATTCTGGGATATTTGAGCATCCATGAGGAGCTACCTTGTGGGTGGATCCCAAGTCTAATCACGAAATTCACTGCTATTCCATAGGCACCTTACTGCACACAGCCTAAAGGCGATTTTATACACTATCTGTGGCGTCCTTGTGTTTGGACACCAGGTCAGGGGTGGAACTTTCCACTGGCGGCATCCTGTTGTCAGCACTTGGCGAAGAGTTTTACAATTTGAAGCCTTTCAAAATTTGAACTTTGGGCCAGGCACCGTGGCGCAGGCCTATCATCTCAGCATCTGTGGAGGCTGAGGCAGGAGGACCATAAGTTGGAGGCCAGCCTCAGCCACCTAGCGAGGCCCTACGGAGGCCGGAGAGGCGGCCTCCGTCCCAGGCCTCCCGGCGGGGACAGAACTAACAAGGCAGCCCAGCTCTGCTCGGCACCTCTCGGATCAGGTCCCGGCGGATCTTGGTCTCCTGGTAGAGCAGGGGCAGGATGTCCTGCAGCAGGTCCCGCACCAGCGAGGGCTTGTTGTGCACGGCCGAGTTGAAGAAGGTCAGGGTGGCCCTGCGGACGTTCAGATCCGGGTCCCGCAGGCTCTCCATGAACTCTCCTGCAAGGGGACAGCGAGGGGGGCCTGAGGGACACAGAGCCAGAGACAAGACCCCCTGCCCCCTGGTGACCGTGAGCGGCGCAGACCTGGCTGGATGCGATGGATGCAGTGAGCAACTACTTTGTGCCAGGTCTAAGCACCCTCAAAGCTCAGAAGGCAGGGCTTCCGTTCCAGAATGTTCCACGGAGCTACGGGAGCCTCAGAGAGTCTGAGGTGCTCCTCTGAGCAATGACAGAACGGCTCCCAACTCTGCTCCCCAAAAATGGGACGGGGGAGGGGTGCTGGGGATGGAACCCAGGGCCCTGATGTCCGACATGGGGATGAGGTGGCCTTTGGGTCTCTGGCTGCCCTTGGCTAGAGAAGGAACATCAATCAGTCCAAGGTCAAGGGCTGTGTGGGGGACCGGGCAGGATGAAGGGTGGGGACAGCACTCACCAATGTAGCTCTTCAGGAGGGGGTCGATGGGGTGGGGCTGGTCCGAGATGAGGAACTTGACCGCGGTGATGACCATGCTTCGGGTGTGTGGCTGACCTGGGTGACAGGGACACGCAAAAAAGAAAGACTCAGAGAGGTTAAGTTCATATCGAAGGTCACACAGCAGATCCAGAATTCCTGGCCAGGCTCTCCTCCACTGAGTCTGCCTTCTCCAAGGTGCGGCTGTGTTCTCCAAGGCTAGGCAGCCCGGAGGCCAAGGGGATTCCAACGGAATTGAGGCCAACCCCAAGCCTGGGAAGGAAGACCTGCCTTCATTTGGTTTTGTCCCTTGCTTTCCGTGGGGGAAGGCTGAAGAAAGAGGAGGAAGTAGGTTTTCCTTAACGAATGAATGACATCAGGAGAGACTCTGGCATGTCTCTGTATGGCTTGCTTGGGATTCCAAACATTGAAAATAAGAAAAACAAAGCCAGCCAGGTGCGGTGGCCCATGCCGATCATCCCAGCCGCTCAGGAGGCTGAGGCAGGAGGATGGCGAGTTCAAACCCAGCCTCAGCAAAAACGAGGCCGTAAGCAATTTAGTGAGACTAAATTTAGTGAGACTAAGCGTGCCTTCATTTGTTGATTTTTATGTGGTGCTGAGGATCTGGTGGTCCTCCTGCCTTTGCCTTCCAAATCACTGGGCTCACAGGTGGATCCCTGGGACGAAAGGCAGGGCCACCCGGCCTGGCCCTCCCCTGAAATTTCAATCCTCTGTAGATTCCCCAGGATCCCTGATAGATATCCAATATAAGTCCAGAAATTTTCCGGACTGTATTGTTCAGGAAATAAAGACAGGGGAAGACGTCTGTACATGTTCAGTACAGATGCCAATTTTTTACCCCAAAATATTTTCCATCCAAGGTTGGTTTAAAATACAGAGACGGGGGGCTGGGGATGTGGCTCAAGCGGTAGCGCGCTCGCCTGGCATGCTTGCGGCCCGGGTTCGATCCTCAGCACCACATACAAACAAAGATGTTGTGTCCGCCGAAAACTAAAAAAAATATTAAAAAATTCTCTCTCTCTCTCTCTCTTAAAAAAAAAAAAATACAGAGACGGTTTGGGCTGCGATTGTAGCTCAGGGGTGGAGCTCTTGCTTAGCATGTGTAAGGCCCTGGGTTCGATCCTCAGCACCCCATAAAAATAAAATAAAGGTGTTGTGTCCATCTACAACTAAAAAAAATATATATTTAAAAAAATTAAAATAAGGGGCTGGGGTTGTGGCTCAGCGGTAGAGTGCTGGCCTGGCACATGGGAGGCCCTGGGTTCCATCCTCAGCACCACATAAAAATAAATAAATAAAATAAAGGTATGGTGTCCAATGAGAGTCATTAAAACTATCTCAAAGTGTTCTAAAAAATATAAAAATAAATAATTAAAAATAAATAAAATAAAATAAATAAAATGCAGGGGTGGAGCCTGCAGATGGGGAGGGCTGAGTGCGCATGCGTCAGGAGGGGTCTGGGCAGGTCTGCGCTCTGTGTCCCTCTCTCTCTCCTGCAAGGAGAGACCTCCGAGTCCCAGGAAAAGTCCCTCTGTGGCTCCTCGGAGTTGGTCACAGAGACACTGGGACCTGGAGAAAGGGTCCCCCTGTGCGTGGGCTGCTTGCACACCCGGGGACCAAGGAAGGGCCCCCTCCGGGGCAGGGTGGCCTCTGTCCCTCACCTGCAGCCAGCTGCTTGCGGAAGCGGGGCAGCAGGAACGGGGGGTTGACGAGGACCAGCCTGCCCACGCACTCGGCCAGCAGCCCGCGGGTGCCCTCGTCGGCGTCGGGGCAGCGCTGGAAGAGCAGCGCCCACACGTCCTCGGCGTAGGGCTTCAGGGCGTCGGGCTGCGCGGCGCCCAGGGCCTCCCGCAGCGAGTGCAGCAGCAGGTACTGTCGCCGGGGCTCGGCGGCGATCTGCGCCAGCAGGAAGGGCAGGAAGTCGGGCAGGTTGCCCGCGCCCACTCGGCCCAGCGCGTACGACGCGGCCGCCCTCACGTCCTCGCTGGGGGACCCCAGCGCGTCCAGCAGCACCGCCTTCAGCTCCCGCTGGGGACCCGGCCCGGCCACCTGGCCCACTTCTGCCAGCGACAGGAAGGCCAGCACCTTGACCCCGGTGCTCGAGTGCGGCGATCGGGCGTCGCACACCAGGCGATGGGCGGTGGCCGCCGCCTCTTGGGGACACGCGCTGGACAGGGCGGCCACGCAGCGCGCCAGGGAGTGGAAGGCCTGCTTGGCCAGCGCTGGCCCGCCACCACCCTCCGGGTCATAAACGGGCGCGACGAGCAGGTCGATGAGCTCTGCGTAGTCCACGCAGGGTGGCCGCGTCCCCACCAGGGCCTGCAGGAAGCCCTCGGCGGCCACCAGCACCCCCGCGGGCAGCAGAGGCGATCGCAGGAGCCCCAGCAGCTCCGCCAGCACCGGGCCGCTGACCTCGGCCACAGAGGCCGGCTGGGCCTGGGTCACCGTGGCCAGGAAGTCCACGGCCAGCTGGGCCACGTGCATGTCACTCTCGCTGACCAGCGCGGGCAGCTCGGCCAGCACCGCGCGCACGGCAGAGGGCGGGAGGTGGAGTCCTTGACTCTGCGCCAGGGCGTCCAGGGCGGCCAGGGTGGCCAGCCGCAGTGCCCGCTGGTTCTTGCGCAGGAAGGTGGCCAGAATGGGCAGCGCCTCGGCCAGGATGGGTTGCATGTCGAGGCGCAGTGGGGACCTGGCCACCAGGGTCAGAGCCTTGACGGCGGGCAGCCGGGTGATCTCGTTGCGCAGGCGGTCCACGAGGAGCAACAGGGTGGGCTCCAGGTCATCCCCAAGACGGTCACCTAGGTGGCCCACCAGGTGGCCCGTGCAAGAGATGGCCCTTTCCTTGACCTCCTGGTCCAGGTCGGTGGCGCGGAGTCGTGCCAGGGTGGCTGCGGACATCTCTCCCACGTAGGGCTCCGGATCCAGCATCCGAGGCTTGTCCAGGGGCCACAGGGCGCGCACCAGCTCCTGGAGCACCAGCAGGGCCTCGGCTGCCATCTTGTAGAAAGGGTCGGCCACGCAGGCCATCACAGGGGGCAGGAGGGTGGGCAGGTGCGGGTGGAAGGCCTCGGCCGGCTCTGTACCCAGCAGCCCCTGCAGGAAGGCCAGGGCGTCCATCCGGATGGTGGAGGAGCTGGAGCGGTCAGCAATGGAGAAGACGATGCCTGCAGGTTGGGCACAGAGATCACGGGGTCGTGAACGTGACCCTCCATGGGATGGAGTAGCCACAGAGGCCCCTTACGCAGAAGTTCCCAAGTGGCCATGGATTGGCCAGTAGCCAGGGCTGAGGGACCCAAGGCCAGGGAACTTTCTAGAAAGCAGCAAGTCAGGCCTGGAATGTTCTCCCCCACTGCCCGTGAGGAGCTGAACAGGGGCTCAGCCTGAGACTGGGGCCCAGGCTCCCCTCGGGGCTGAAGCCACCAACTCAGGGCCTTGGAAGAGGCCAGAGGAGACCCCCGGGGCCGCCCAGCCTACCTGACATCAGTACCGGCATGTACCCCGCCAGGCTGCCAGGGAGGACGCCGGCCAGCTCGGTCAGAAGGCTGAAGCAGCCCTGCCGGGCCCTGATGCTGCGGTCCTTCAGTTGTCGCTGCAGGGCCTTGATGACCAGGGGCACCTGTGGACAGGAGGTGGGGGGGCGTCAGGGGCCACCCAGGAAACCCGCCCCAGACCACCCACTCCCATGGGGCTTGGCCCAGGTGCGTCCCCAGGGAAGATGCCCATCGAGGACAGGATGCCTTCCTGAGCGCTGAGTGCTGGACTAATGGACACACAGACCGGCAGAGGTAGGGACGATTCTGGTGTCCATTAATGTAACCAGCTCCAGGTCACCCAGGAAGTCGGCCTGTGGCTGCTACAGGTCATGAGGGGGAAGCAGGAGCCTGGCTGAGCCCACAAGGGGGACCTTGGCCTCCTCAGCTAGATTCTCTTCCCCGTGAGCTTCCGCCCAGATCTGCATCTCCAACCCCAGACTCCGGGGCCTTCCGCCGGCCGGACAGAGCCACCTGGGCCCCTGCCATGGTTTGGCTGTGGCTCGCGACTCTCAAAGGTTCCTGTTTGGGAGGCTTGATTTTGGAGGAGGGTGGGATCTTGAAGAGGTAGAGGCAGTGGGGTCTCTGGGGACGCTGCCTGCTGAGTGGGACCTCGGTTTTCAAGGGAGGCTTGTTACAGGGAGAGTGAGCCTGCCCCCCCCCTCGTCTTCTGGCTTCCTGTTTCACCTTGGGATCTCCTCCTCGGCCCACGTCCCAGCCGTGACGCCATCTTGGAGGATGTGAGCAGCGAGGGGAGCCCTCACCAGAGCCGAAACTGTGCTGTTTGCTGTTTGGACTTTCTTTTTTGTTGTTGTTCTTTATTAAATTATTATTTATTCTCATTTGTTATCCCTGATGACAGAATGCAATTCACTTCATATTGCACATAGAGAGCAATTGTTCAAGTCACTGGTTCTGCACAAAGTATTTTCACTGTTTGGACTTTCTATCTCCAAATCACTGAGCTAAATATATACTTTTTTTGGGGGGGGAGGCTGGGGGTTGGTACCAGGGATTGAACCCTGGGGGCACTTGACCACTGAGCCCCATCCACAGCCCTATTTTGTATTTTATTGAGAGACAGGGTCTCAATGAGCTGCTTAGCACCTTGCTGAACTTCTTTTCTTTAGTAAGTACCCAGCCTTCAGTATTTTGTTATAGGAATGGAAACCAGACTATGAGAGCCAGCCAATGAAGACTTTGAACGTAGACATGTAGAAGTTTAAATATAATCCTCCTCTACCAATTCTCCCCCTTCCCAGGGAAAAGCACTTCTGCTTTAGCCAGAAACCTGAAAGTCACATAACACCCGCCTGTCTAATCAATCAACGAGACTCAATGATTCAACCCCAAACCTACTTCTCTAGGCTCTCTGCCCTACGGCTGGCACTAAGTCCATCACTGTCTCTTGCCACCTGGACAGTTGTAACGACTTCTGGTTGGTTTCTAGCCTTGACTTTGGTCTCATTACAATCCATTCCCCACGCAGCAGCCAAAATGAGCTTTTTCAAATGCAAACTGGACCTTATTCCCCTCCTGTAGCTCTGCCTCCTGCTAGAATAAAACACACTCCGGAGCCAGGCGCTACGGGGCACGCCTGTCATCCCAGAGACTTGGGAGGCTGAGGCAGGAGGATCGAGAGTTCAAAGCCAGCCTCAGCAAAAGTGAGGCCCTAAGCAACTCAGGGAGACCCTGTCTCTCAATAAAATGCAAAATAGGGCTGGGGATGGGGCTCAGTGGCCGAGGGTCCCCTAATTCAATCCCTGGTACCCACTACCCCCCCCACAGACACACACACAAGACTGTGTGGCCCAGTGGTTAGGGACTTGATCTGCATGGTTCCCTCTGTGTCTCAGCACCTCGCACACAGATCCATGCACAGAACAGCAGCCAGGCGGACAGTGGGGTGGGCGGGAGGAGGGGAGGGCAGATGGTGAGCAGGTGACGGGGCAGAGGCGTGACCCACCTGTCCCCGCAGCATGTGCAGGTTGCTCCCCGTCTGGGTGGGTTCCTCCACAGCCTCCAACCACCCCTTGGGGGGCCGTGTTTGCCGCAGCATCACGATATAGGCCCCGAAGACATCGGCCTTGACGTTCTCCTCCCGCTCCTTGAAGCGGCGGATGAGGGCGGGCGCCAGGGTGCAGAGGAAATCGGGCAGCAGGTCGGGCCTGGAGCCAATCAGGGCCGCGATGCACTTGGCCGCCGCCCGGCGCACTTTCCAACTCATGTCATCGTCGTCACTGTACTCGTCCTCGCTCTCTGGGGTGGGGACAAGGCACACAGCCCTATTTTGTGTTTTATTCAGGGACAGGGTCTCACTGAGTTGCTTACGGCCTCGCTTTGGCTGAGGCTGGCTTTGAGATCCTCCTGCCTCAGCCTCCCGAGATCCTCCTGCCTCAGCCTCCCGAGATCCTCCTGCCTCAGCCTCCCGAGCCGCTGGGATGACAGGCATGCGCCACCTTGTCTGGCTAATTTTTCAAGTACTTTCGACTCACAGCGGGTTGAATGTGTAGATGCAGCCTGTGAGGAGCTGAGCCTGATGTATGGCAGGGGCATCCTGGGAAGGTCATGCCCACCTCCAACCCTCAGGACAGGGGCATCCGCCCACCTTGTTCACTGAACTCGCTGTCCTCGGTCTCCATCTGCTCCTCGTCCTCGTCGCTGTGGTCATTATAGTTGGGATCGTGCTTGAGGTACTGGAGGCAGAGGCTGGTCACGTTGGCCACATGAGGGTCCATCTCCTTGGGACACCTGAGGGTGGGGCCCAGGGGTGGGTCTTGGAATCTTACCACTGGGAGGCCCCACCAACGCCCCCCTCACCCCACTCCCTGTTCCCAGCTCTCCCTGCGGCACCTACTTCCTCAAGAAGGCCTCGAAGGCTTGGAGGCAGGACTCCCGGAGTTCATCGTCATCCAGGTTGCAAAACTCCTCCACCAGGGGCACCAGGCGGTCCAGGTGGGCCCCTGCAGGGCCAGGCAGGTCAGCTAGGCCAGACCCTTCTCTGGGTCTCCCCAGCCCACAGCCCACAGCTCAGCCCCGCGCCTGCCACCCTGACCACGGCGAATTCAACTTCGAGGGCTCACAGGCGAGCAGGTGCGTGTGGGAACCCTGACGCTGCCACCTGCGTGCCCTGAGCAGGTCACAAGACTTCTCTGAGGCAGCCCGTACTGACGACTTTACAGGCAGGGTGACAACGCCCACGGGGCAGAGACTTGGCGAAGATAAACGCATCCTGCAGATCCAGAGCTTAGCCCAGGTCCTGCTGGAGGAGCTTCTGTAGTCCAACCATTATTTATGGTCTTGCTTTATTTGCTGCACGAGGCTGTAAGTCCCCGGATGGGAAAAGGGGAGAGGCAGGTACTGCCCTCACAAGACCAGGCAATTGGGGACGGCCGTGGTCCCCAGGCTTTAGAGGATCCTGCTTCATTGACCCCCTTCCTCACAGTGCAAGAAATGATGACCTGGAGACCCCCCCCAACATGCTTTTTAGCTTCTACTTTGGGAACCTGGGACCTCAAAGTTTCCTACTCGACCAACCCTGAGCCCTTTTCCAAGCCTGTGCAGGATTCTGAGGGTCACTAAGGAGTGGCTGCTGTTTGGGATGGTAAGACAGATGTGGACGTGTGGGTTGGGGCGTCCGCGTTGGAACGTGCAAAGCCCCCTTGCCCTGACACCACCAGGGGCTGGGCGGGGTGTGGTGACCACAGGTCCACTCCATCTTGTTCTAGCTTGGAACGCCTATTCAACGGGTCTGAGGGCAAATTCAGAGCTGCCTGCTATATTCAAAGGCTGCCTGAGGTGAGGCAGAGGGAGAGATGGCGTCCAGAGAGGTACAAGGCAATTTGGGGGTGGGGAGAGGTGATGGAAATGTCCTGCATCTGGACCTTTGCATACGCGGTAGCTTCATGCATGTCTCCAAAGGTCAAAAAGCACCAAAATGCTCTAAAAGGCACTTCAGATGGTGTGGTTCATCGGATGCACATTATCCCCCAATAGCATTTTTTTAAAAATCCAAACCTAGCTCACAGATTGTTATTAAGGTAACTTGGTCACAGTAGGAGGCTAATGGTCTGGCAGCCTGACTTAGAAGGACCTGGGAACCTCTGAGCCATAGAACTGAGGGACCTAAGCCCCTTCCTTAAGGGGCTTGCACTTTCCTGGACCCTGAGTTCAAGTTTGTGCAAGTCTTGGGCTCAAGAACCCCCTCGAGCCCCGCCCCTCGAGCCCCGCCCCTCGAGCCCCGCCCC